GGGAGAAATCTTTTTACTCATTCATCCCTTAATGAAAGCCAGAGCCCTCAGGAAAACATCCTTCATGATGCCCACACATGCTCCTTTCTCTTTTTAGTCCAAGCAGGCTAATGGGATCTAGACTTCTTGTAAACTCACCTACTGTCAGCCTCCACACTTCACAGGGAGATGGGTATGGGCTGTCTGGGGTCTGCAACTTAGTGAAAGAAATGTTGTTTGACTTATGAGAGAGGTCAGTATTCAAATAGTCGTCATGATATGTGTCCAAGCCTGATTTAGGAGGATGAACCACTGCTGGACTTGAACATATCTGCCCTCTCAGGGGTGATTCACTTGGACAGGCTCCTGGGGACTGCAATCTTCATGACAGGGCCAACCTCTGCCAGCCTCTCAAAGGACACCTTGCTCAGGTAGACACACATCAAAGCAAGAGTGCCTTTTAGAGTACTAGCTTCTTTCCACCACAGAAAGACAGATTTCCATCTGTGTTGCCAGATATGTAAGTCTTTTCCTTTAGGAACACTTATGAGAGACTACTCCTTTTCACAGGAAACCAAGGCCACCCAAAGCAAAATTACTTTTCTTTGTTCAAGAACAATTGCTCACTCATTTTCTATTTGTTTACTTTTTCTTCCTCCTTAAGAAAGTTAAAGGATAGGGCGCCTGGGTGGCTCAGTTGGTTAAGCGACTGCCTTCGGCTCAGGTCATGATCCTGGAGTCCCGGGATCGAGTCCCGCATCGGGCTTCCTGCTCAGCGGGGAGTCTGCTTCTCCCTCTGACCCTCTTCCCTCTCGTGCTCTCTATCTCTCATTCTCTCTCTCTCTCAAATAAATAAATAAAATCTTTAAAAAAAAAAAAGAAAGTTAAAGGATATTTTTGCTATTGGTAGGTTGTGTTTTTCTACAGGCAAAGAGTTTTAGTTTTGAGTTCTAAACTGAGGTTTGGAGATTGTCCATGGAACAAAACACTTTACAAAGAAGACCAGGCCCTAGCTCACACAGAGGACATAGTTGATAGTTTAGCAGTAAAGCACAAACACATCTTACGAGCGGGAAAGTGGACATGAGATTCCCTGCCCACCTGACACCTCACCCAAAATGTGTAGAATCAAAGCCCTGCAAAGTGTGATCCTCTCCCAAAATTCTCCAGCTCACTGAAGGGCAGTACTGTGTCAGTTCGGGTCCTCTTTGAGCATATGCCAAGACGGAATTCAACATGCAAGAGCTTCTTGAGGAAAATGCTCATGAAGGGTAAAGGGAAGAAAGAGCTAGAATAGGCAGAGAGAGACTCAGATCATAACGCATGTCTGTCCCCTCTGGAAAGGGAGAGGGAAGGGAAGAGAACTGGGCAGGAAGAGCTTCAGACTGCAGATTAGTTCTGAGAAATTGTTGACCACACTGATGGGAAGCTCCACAGTACTGATTGCCTATTAGACGAGTCCCAGCTTAGGCAGAAATAGCCTGGCTCTGGTACCCCCACCGAGTTCATTCATTGTCTGGGAGCAGCCAGAGAGTGCACAGCCTTGTCCGTATGCTGCAGCAAATCGAAAGGGGCGGCGGCTGGTGGCTCTCAGCTCTGTTCTCTGTAGAAGATTCTCTTGAAGAGTGATCTGAGTTGCTATACGTCTGCCACAATCGTTCATCCAATTATGCAATCTGGGAGTCGTGCCTGATATCTTCTTTTCCCTTATCTTTAAGACCCAGTCTACTGGCAAGATCCTAACCATTTCACCTCCTAAATATCTCTCACATCTGTCTGTTTTTCTTATCTCCTCCACCACTACCACCATCATCTTTCTCCTAACTGATGACCATCTTTCCATCTATTCACCACACAACATGTAGGAGCAGCTTTTTTATCTTTAAAAAAAATTTTTTTTAAAGATTTTGTTTTTAAGTTATTTCTACACCTGATGTGGGTCTCAAACTTATCACTCTGAGATCAAGAGTCACAGGCTCTACTGACTGAGCCAGCCAGGTGCCCCAGAGCCATCTTTTTTAAAACACAAGTCAGATCTGCTTAAACAACATCAGAGCTCATAGGATAAGGATCTAAGTCCTTACCACGACCTTCAAGGCTCTGCCTGTTGTGACCTTTGCCTTATTCTCCAGCCTTCTGTGGACTTGGGTTGTCCTTACTCTCTCTGCTCCATTGACCCTCTGAGCATCAGGTAGATAATGGTTCAAATCTAGCCCCCTTCCAGTTCCCCCCAAATGCTCCAAGTTCTTTGCTGCCTCAGGACCCTTGCACATATTGTTCCCTCTACCAATTATCTCTTCTCTAATCCCATGCCCTTCTACCCAGTTAACTAACCCTCATTCCTTAGCTACCAATTCAAATATCATTTCTTCAGGGAAGGCTTCTCTGACCCTCACACAAGTTTGAATCGTTTGTAATTCCATCTTATAGTGAATTAAATGCACTCTGTAGCATTTAGGATGATATTCTGTATTTGACTAATTATCTGATTGACTACCTTACTATACAATGTGTTTCCTGATGGTAGAGACTATGTCCATTTTTGCTCATTACTGCATCTCAAGCATTAGCAGAGTGGCTGCATTTTGTAGTTGCAACAAAATATTTATTGAATAAAGGAAGTATCTGAAAGGGGTATTTGATATATTTTTTTCCTTTTTATTTGAGTCACACTCCAAGTGTTTTCTTTTCTAACCAGTGAATTATAGTTCTATTTATATTGTTCTCCAGCAGCATGATCTACCGCCCCCCCCACCCGTCTACTCCCACCCTTCGCCCATGGTAAAATCTGTGAGCTCTGGCCTTGGGCTTGGGATTTTTTGAGCCTTCCTTGACAAGCACAAGATTTTATTCTAGAGTTAGAAGGTCAGGGAGGTAGGAAGGAAAAGAAAGTGAGTTGCCTCCAAAGAGTTGGGATACAAAGTTGATCTTTGAAAGTTAAATTAGAAATCAAACCAATCAGAGCAAAGATATACAACATGCCTCCTTAAAGAGCAATAAGGACCCCAGGACCTACAAGGCCCAATGGTACTGTTACTCAGTAAGTTCTGGCTCTATCTAAAAAAGAAATGTGTTCATCTGAGGAGGGACAGCCCTGGTACATTAATAAGGAGAACCTAGGTAACAGAGAGTGTCCACCAGCCACCAACCCCAGGAGAAGGGTTGGCCAGGACAGCAGTAATGAGTGCCCAATCCTCCCAGCAGCTTGTTTGACCTCTGGTGTGGAGGAAGATGCACCAAGCTTCCCAAGGCTGATATCGGTAAACATTTAAGTCAGATAATTCACTCTTCTGATTCTGGCTTGGAGCTCGTCAAGCCACCTTCTGACAATTAGGTTCCAAATTGTACAGTTTTAAGAAGTGAGTGCACTCATGAGCCAACCTCAAGAGTCTCATGTTCCTGACCGTTTTGCTTCTAACAGTAATGGTTAAGCTCCAGGTTTGGGTATCAGACAGCCTTCATTTGAACCCTGACTCTACCATTTACATACTGAACATACTAACCTTGGGAATTCCCTTTATCTTTTTTTACCCCAACTGAAAAAAAGATCACAACATACCGCATGATAACAGGGAGAATTAAAGGAAGCAATGCATGTAACGTACTTAGCATAGAGTTTAGCAAATAGTGAATGAAATCAGTAAGTTCACCTTCTGATTTTATACAATGTGGATTTTTAATCAACACTGGAACATTGAAAAGATGGAATTTCGGGTCCCACAGGGTCAAAGACTAAATCTGGACTATGGGAAATCACCAAGATGATAGACTACAGGCTAGCCTTTTACCTCCTGGCACCTCTCGGGTTACACGGGTTAACATCTATAAAAGGTAACCAAGACGTGGCTTTAAAATCTTGCATCTCTACCTCTCTTTTCCTAACTCTCCTCTCCCACATATACTTTTTATGCAGAAACAGATTTTCAAATTTACCTCTACTTTGCTCTCATGGAATTAAGAATGATTGTCCTATCACAAGGAAGAGCTAGCTCCAAGGCTTCCCTTGATAATTTTTTTGTTTTGTTTTGTTTTGTTTTTCCTTTATGCTACAGACCAAAAGCGTCATCTCCCGGAGGGGGAAACATGGGCCCTGGTCACCATTTGGCCTGCCCCACTTCCGCAGGTGCTCTGAGGGAACACTACAATTACACTTAGCCACAACACCAGTCACAGATCAAGGCTTCCATCACGCAGGGAATGTGTCTGAATTTCAAACAGACAAACCAAAGTGACACTGCCAGATTAGACAGTTAATTTTGTTTTTCTGTTCCAGTTATCAGACTGCTCTATGACAAAAGTGAACAAACACACACAGGGCAAATTGGTTTGGAGTATGGAGTCTTATCGGTGTTTTCCAAGTAGAAATGCTTCCTTACAGAAGTATTTTCAGATCTCAGTGACTGATGCTGGGCAGAGCTGTGGGGTGTTTCCTGAAACTTCAGGTGTAGCAGCGCTCTAATTAACAGGACTGGTCCAGTGGCGTCATCACAGGGGCTAATCGTCAGGTGAGGTGTGAGGGGCCTTCCAAAAAGACTGCAGTGCCTCCTCTGTCCTTCTAAATCAAGAGAACACAGCCTAAACTTTGAAAACTATCTTATTATCATGGGGATCTCCAATTTTATCAACTGACATTAGAGAATGTCTGTCAGGCATCCAGAAAAACAATGACTTGGTTGCTGCCCTCAAAGAACGCACCTAGAGCTTAACAGAAAATGCCAAGTATTTTCTCCCTCATATCGTTTCATTTAATTCCTACAACCTTGAGGTAGGTATGGTTACCATCCTCGTCCTACCAGCAAAGAAACTAAGGCTAAGGGATTCCGCCCCAAATCACACAGCCACTAAGTGACAGGCCCGGGCTCACTAAATCCTCGGGTATTGATGGGCACCAATTAGAGCAGGGAGTCCAAATCCTAAGCTTGCTGTTCACTCTTTCTCATCAAATGACAAGTCCCCCATTTCATTGACACCATTGACTTTTTGATTTCTCCGCGGACCCAGTTTGAAGAGCCTGGTACCTCATGGTCGCGACAAGGCTGTTCGAAGCCACGGGGCCGCCAGCTCGGCAGAGGGTCCAGGGCACATGCCTGGGCCTGGGGGACCGGCCGACCCCTGGGGATCTGCGAACGAAACCTGCCCCAGCTGGCTCAGCGCCCCAACCCGGGACCCCTCAGAGGCTCGTTCCGGGCCGCCCAGGCCAGACCAGCCTCCTGAGGCCAGCAACCCATGAAGCGCTGCCGGCACGTCCGCCGTCAGCCCCGAGGCCTGAGCAGGTGCTGACTAAGGGGCTGGCGGGGGAAGCGGCCCCCACGGGCCGAGGCGCGCTGCGGGGCCGAACGAGGGCGCGCTGCGGGGCCTCTCCCCTTGCGGCGGGGCTGCCCGCCCTCCTGCCCGGCACCGGCCCGGGGCCTCGCGCCGCGGAGGTGTGTGCACCGGGCTCGCTGGCGGCCCCTCGAGTGCACGGGGCTCCGGCCAGCCGCCCGCGTGCAGGCCCGAGGCCCGAGCCCCCGCCTCTGGCTGCCAGCCCGCGCTCCGCATTCACCGCGCTCGGCCCGGGCCCGCCTCTCGGCCGTTTTCGCTTTCGCTTTCCTGCCTCCCTCGTTGAGGAAAATGAAAGTGACCGTGGCCGTGGCCCGGGCCCGCGCAGCAGCCGTCGAAGAGAGGGGCGAGGAGAGCGGCGGCGGTCGGCGTGGAGCCTGCGAGCTGGGGCCGCCGCCCGCACCAGAGGAGGTAAGCGCGGCCCCTCGACGGCCGCCTCGCGGGCTCCGCCTTGCGGACCGGGCGGGCGGGACGCCAGGAGGCCCCGTGACGCGGAGCCGGCCGGGCTGGGGGCTCCTGCGGCGGGACTGGGGGGGGGGGGGGGGCGCTGGGACCCGGCACCGCGGGGGCCTGCACGGCCCGGCTGAAAGCCGGGGGAGCTCAGACTAGCGCGCCAAGGGCCTGGCAGCCTGGGGCCGAGGTCGCGCGGCGGCAAGGCCGGTCGTGCACCGGTCCCATCCCACGTTTCCTTTTGGTACAACACCACCGGTCCCCCACCCCCTACCGGCTTTCAGTGGGAGAACGTATGTAAAATGCTGAGCAGAGTGCCTCCCCTGAGCTCGGCTGGGAGGAACTCATTTGCCCCTGCTTACCTTTTAGACTCCTCTTCTTCCCCATTTTGGCTCCACGCCTCGTGTAGTTTGCCTTCCTACGTTTTACAGATAGGGTGCACTTGGGCGACCCTGGGGTGCCTTCCAAGCGTTCCCTGAACTGGCAAGCTTGCAGCCCGCCTCTCTTGGCCACAGGCATGGACATGAGCTAGTCCAGGATGTCGCCCCCTCCCCGAGGCCCTGCCCATGGGAAGACAGGGGCTTACTCCGTAGAGACTCCAACCCCCCGGGGCTGGCGAAAACCATCAGGAATGGGTGCGCTCGGGGACCGCGTCCTTCCCAGACCAGGAAACTTCCAGTCCGCTGCATCTGCCCGCAGAAGGGTGAAACATAAGTGCTCTGGTCTTGGCCGTTGGTCACATATACATTAATTCGATCGTGGTATGGAGAATTGGGCTCCCCTCAGGGCTGTGGAGCCAACCCCTGGCAAGGAAAAAAAAAATCTCCATCTCTCTCTCTTTTATATCTATAGCTACACACACACACAAGTTACCCGCATGGCCAGTGGCGTGGGGTGAGCATACAGGGTAGAAGGCACTAAGTGTTGGAAGTAAAGGGACTAAATCTGCAGGCACTTGACTTCCATTTGAGTGATGACACTCTTTGTAGCCAATACCAAGAACCCCCTTTTAATCAACTTTTGTTTCAATAAAAATGAATTCAGCCTAATCACACGGATCTGATCGTGCGGCCCATTACTGAAACAAAACTCCATTGATCTTAACTTTGGAAAATTGCCATCTGAATTTGACAAACGATGACATAAGATCCTATTTTTTAAAACACGGAGTCCCTCCTCTGCCCTGCTTCCAGGGCTGTGTTGAGTATTCATTGCTTTTAGAAAATACTGCCTTTACCATGAGCCAGAAAAATCAGAGTCTTTGATTCAATGAGCTCTTCCTTCTCTGCTGAATTCCCTAATGTCCTCTTCGCTCTTCCTCCTCTTAACTAAATTTGAACCGTAGTGGATGGTTCTCTCCTCTTGCTCTCCTAGCTTCAGTCTGCAGGGCGAAGAAGAGGTGGCGTAGTGGAGACACCCTGCCCTGCATTTCTACCACCCTGTGTTCTTGCTTCCATGTTCCAGAAAACGTAAGACCAAGCAAGCCCCTGCCTTTCCCCCCTACCTTCTTGGCTCCATAGCTTTATGATTCGTTGACTTAGCCACCGGCATGTGATGGACTTTCTTACATTTTTCACTAAAAAGTAATGCATGGGACTTTGTGTGTTTTCCTTAGTATCTGAGGTCTACCAAATTTAATTGCTCACACACTTTAGTTCATGGCACACTAATCCTTGCTCCATCTAGAGTCTCTCATGTTATTTCATGTTGTTATTTCCTCCCTTTATACTCCAGTTCTCGGTCAGCACCCTCCTCCCTGTGCACACACGAACACGCCTCCATGCTGTTGTATTTGTTCTTCCGAACTCCCTTTCCTTATATCTTCTTAGAGCATGTGTATCTTTGAAACCTATGTCATGTTTTGCTTTTGATGCACTTACCTAAATAAATACTTTCAGGCTAAGGGCACCTGGGTGGCTCAGTCGGTTAAGGTTAGATGTCCGCCTTTCGCTTAGGTCACGATCTCAGGGTGCTTGGTTGGGGCCCCGCATCAGTCTCCATGCTCCACGGGGAGCCTGTTTCTCCCTCTCCCTCTGCCTGCCACTCCCCCTGCTCCTGCTCTCTCTCTCTCACAAATAAACAAAAAAAATAGCAGCGCCTGAGTAGCTCAGTCAGTTGAGCATCTGCCTTTGGCTCAGGTCATGATCTCAGGGTCCTGGGAGTCAAGCCCTGCTCAGCAGGGAGTCTGCTTCCCTCTCTCCCTCTGCCCCTAATCCCGCTCATGCTCTCTCACGCTCTCTCTCTCGAATAAATAAATAAAATTTTCAAAAAAAAAAAGAAAAAACTTTCATGCTATAAATCTCTTACTATTTCTTTTCCTCCCTACATTATGTTTTTGAGTCAAACCATATTGCTATATGTGAGTCTGATTTATTACTCCTGGCTGTTGCATAGTTTTGTATGGAAAGTATACACCACAAGTACTTAACCAGCCTCCTGGGAATAGACATGAGGTGGCCTGTGACTCCTTGCTTGCACGAACAGTGCTGCACCAAACATCCTTCTGGGTGTCTCCCTGTGTCTTGTGCAAGAATTTTTTTTGAGATAGGTATGAGATTACTGGTTCTAGGATACTTGCGGGATGTCTTTTACCAAAAACTGCTACTTTGTGCTGCAGAATGACTTCTTCAGTTTCCTCCCACTAGGCGTGCATCTAGGGTCCCTTTTCCAACATCTACTGGAACTTACTGTTAGCTCATTTATGAATTTCGGTCCAAACTGGTAGGTTAAAGCAGTACTCCATTTCTGTTTTAATTGAGCATCTCATCATATTGTTTTGCCATTGGTGAACTGCTCACCCATCTGTCCATCTAATCTGCTCCTCTTTTCTTTCAGATTTCTGATATTTTTCTATATGTGGTTTGCATTTTGTTCCTTATTGGCATCCTTACATGTTAAAATGTTAGTTCTGTGTCAGATGTGAATGTTTTAAGTCTTCCCCTAATCTTGTCACCTGTCTGTTAACCTCATTTATGGTCTCCTTTTTATTATTACTAATAACTTTATTATTAAAGTAAGTAAATATAACTAAATTAAATAAATATAACTAAAGTAAATAAAAATAACTAAATTTATATACCATAAAATTCGCCCATTTAAATTATACAACTCAGTGGTTTGTAGTCTATTTCCGGAGTGTGCAACTATCGCCATAATCTAATTGTAGAATATTTTTATTACTCCATTAGCAGTCACTCTCCACTTTTCCCTCAATATGCCCCTCCCCTGCCCTGGGCAAATACTAATCTACTTCCTGTCTCTGCATTTGCCTGCTTCTGGACATCTCATACAAATGGGATGATACAATATGTGTTTGTTGTGCCTGGTTTCTTTCACTTAGCATAGTGTTTTGTAGGTTTATCCACATTACAGCATATATCGGTAGTTTGTTCCTTGTTAATGCCCGATAATATTCCATCACGTGGGTATACCGCATTTTGTTTATCCATTCGTCAGTTGATGCACGTTTAGGTTGTTTCTACTTTTCGGCCGTTATGAATAATGCTTCTGTGTACATTCATGTACAACTTCTGAGTGAACATATATTTTCATTTCTCTGGGATATATACCTAGAAGTGGAATGACTGGATCATATAGTATCTCGATGTTTAAACTTTTGAGGAACTCCCAAACCGTTTTCCAAAGCAGCTGCGACATTTTCCAGTCTTACCAGCCGTGCGTGATGGTTCCATTTTCTTCCTGCCCTCACCGTGGCGTGTTGCCAGTCATTTGGGTTAGAGCCATCCCACCCTAGCAGGTACAAAGTTGTAGCACATGGTGGTTTTGATTCGCACGTCCCTGATGGTTAATGATGTTGAACATATTTTCATGTGCTTATTAGCCATTTGTGTATCTTCTCTAGAGAAATGTCTATCCAGAACTATTTTTTTAAATTGTTGTCTTTTATTATTGAATTGTAATGGTTCTTTATATATATTTATATATATAAATTTATGTATATATTTAGATGTCCTTTTATTAGATATATGAGTTGCAAATAGTTTCCCCTTCTCTGTGACTTGTATTTTCACTTTCTTAATGGTGTTCTTTGAGGCAAAAAATTTTTCAATTTTGTTGACGTCCAACTGGTCAATCTTCTGTCTTACCTCTTGTGTTTTTGGTGTCATATCTAACAAATCCTTGCCTAACTCAGGGTTATGGAGAGTCACTCTTATGTTTTCATCTAAGAGATTTGTAGCTTACATTAGGTCTATGGTCTACTTTTTTTTTTAAACATAAATCTTTAAATTTTCTGTAGTCATATCCATCATTTTTCTCCTTTTAGCTTATGCTATTTACATCTTATTTAAGAAATCCTCACCTACCTGAAGATCATAATTTTTTTCTATATTTTCTCCTACTAACTTTATCTTTTCTTCTTCTCCCTTTACATCTTTAATCCAACTGGATTTTGTTTTTATTATGGCTTTGTAATATGTCTTAATATCTACCTTTTTTTTCAAACTTGTTCTTATCTTTTCATGGATTTGTTCTTCCATAAACATTTTTAAATCTGTCTGTAAAGTTCACAGAAGTCTTCGTGAAGTTTTGATTGGAAATTAATTAAAATCATAGGTTGATCTGGGAGGAATTGATACCTTTTAATGTCAAATCATCTCACCCCTGAATATGGTCTGTTCTCTCCATTCACTCATATTTTCACTCAGATGTACTTTAATAGAGTTTTTCAGATTTTCTCCACAAGTGTCTTGCATTTTTTATTAAGATAATTCCTAGCTTCAATAATATTACTAATATGTGGTTTCTTATTTTGTCACATTGTTGCTGGTTAGACTGTTACATATCTCCTCTCTCTCGCTGATTGGTTACTGTTGGGAGGAGAAATGCAATCAGTTGTTTTTAGGTTGGTTTCATTTCTAACTACCTTTTTGAACTCCTATTAATTCTAATGGTTTTTCTGTGGATTTTTCTGAGAGTTCTATGTGAAATAATTGTACCAG